GCGTACAGTGACATTTAGAGCATGTGCAAAAAAAAACCTCAATGTGAAAAGCAACTCAAGCCAAAAAAGCAGAAGGCATTGATTTCATTCAAATGTCAGGAGTGTGTGYTGCAAGCAAATCCACAATCGGAAAATTTCCTGAGGGCAGAAACTGACATGATACCAAATAAATGGACGTATCAGAGTTTATAGTTAAATAACTTAGATCGAGTGAAATCTTAGCATGAAACGTTCTGATGTAAAGAACTGAAACATGCCGGGTCAGCACTTTGKTCATATAAACAGAACTTTATTCTGAGTGGAGTTAAGTCTTCAGGGAGGTCATTGATCAGGCAACACATGGTCAAAAAGGATGAAAATGAGTTTATTTGTCCTCTACACTGCAGGAATAAATTGTATAATAAAAATAATCTATTTAAAAATTAGTTTCTTTGTTTGTGGTTTGCTTTTTTGTTGTTTTGTTGTTTTTACCTTGAGTTCTGAGATTTTAGCTTTCCAGTTTACAAACTGAAACTTGAGACTCAGTGATTTTCCCTCAAATTTACTCCTTCATGCATTTGACCAAGATATAGAAAAAAGACCCTAATGAYTCTTCAGTGGGAGGGGTCTGATTAATCTGCATGTGAATGTACCTGCACAATGTTACGGAGCCCGTGAGGGGACACGGGGGATTTTTTTTTCTTTTGCATTCCCCACGCAATAGTATTGCGTCACCTCGCAATACCTTTTGCGTTCCCTCACAAAAGTTATTTATCACTGTTGTGCCTGCTGGTTTGTGAACACTTTCATGTGTTCACCATTAGCGAGTTAGCCTACTGCTTTAATTCAGCTTTAGAATTATATATCACACAAGCACGAATGGAAGTATGTCAAATGCCGATATTTTTAACAGTGCAGTTTCATGAACTGTGGCGACACATCCTGTTTTGGTAACTGGATATTTCAAAATAAAAGTCTGATTTAATTCACTTCATATACAAAACAAACTCTTGCGTGGTAACGCAAAACAATTTTGCAAGGTAACGCAAAATGTTTTACGAGGTAACGCAAAAGTATTGTGAGGTAACGCAAAGATATTGCGAGGTAACGCAAAAGTATTGTGAGGTAACGCAAAGATATTGCGAGGTAACGCAAAAGTATTGCGTGGGAACGCAAAAGAAAATAAATCCCCCCATGTCCCCTCGCGGGCTCCGTACAATGTAGCATCTCCTGCAGCTTAAAACTGGAAACTTCATTTTCCTGTTTTCCATTGTATTTACTATGTTGTTGCTGTTGTTTTTACAGTTTGTAACTCAGCAAGATTTACAAATTTTACAGCTAAAATTAGGTGTTTTAGTAGCTGASAGTCATTCCTAAAGGATCCYCTGATATCTGTTTTCAAAGCTTTATTATACTTGAGTCAGGTGTTTGTCTTTTAGCTCATGAACCAGTGGATGAATTCTGATGAAACGTTCAGAAAGTCATCATTTAACTGTTCAACTTTTGGAGTCAGCTGTAGGAGAAAAATGTCACAGTCTACACCGTTTCAGGTTTTGATCTGCAGCACAGTTTTGACAAGGCACATCTAACAGCACCAAACCGCACAGYGGTTAAATTACACATTATAAAATATAACCAGTGACACAACATAAAATATTCTTCTGTCAAATTAAACAGAAATATATTCAAGGTGCTAATCATTAGCTGAATATGCGATTAATGCAACTCTTTCACGTAAACGCATTTGCATTATTCAAAAGTGCTGCCTGTGATTATAAAAATAGAATCATTTAAGAGATTTTTAGTGTCACAATCCAACACTTCTCTCCTCCATTCCATTTTTTAATCCCATTCCAGATGAAGACAACAGGCACTGAAATCTCCAGCCTCATCAGAATGATTTTCAGTGTGAATCTGTGGTGTAGCTGCCTCTTTCTTTTCTGGTCACTTTGATCTGTAAACAAATGGATTAGCTTCCTTTGTGAAGCAATTTCCTCCCAACTGGAATCAGGCATGCGGTCGTGCGTACATCCTAATCAAAAATTAAAAGAATTGTCAGGATTACTGGATTATTTCTATCCCAGGCAAGAATTCGCACAAATAATGGTTTGTAATCAATTGTAATTAGGTCTTCTGCTGCATTTCAGAGAGGACGGTAACGAGCGTTTTGTAAAAATGTGTCAGAACAGACAGCAGCGCAGTCCTGAACTTGGCTCATGAATCTATTATCCCTGGCTGGAAATGTGATAAAACCAGTCTGATTAGATTAAAATCAAGACTGGTTTTAACACATGCTGATCTAAAGTGGAAATTATTATTGATAAGAACAAATGGTTTGATTTGTCTACAGAAAGCCTTTATATGGAAATCCTATTTTACTCCTGGTTGATCAAATATCTTTTACGACGTCTCGTTTTTGTTGCAATAACTTAGGTTTCAAAGTCACTTTCAGGAAAACCACGTGGCTTCTGAAGAGTGGAGCACATTTTCCTTTTTTAACCATTAAACTCCTGACACTAGATTTGTTACATGGACCAAATTAGTCCACAAATGTGTTTGCATCATTACTGAAAGCAGAGGTGGACCACAATGTTTTATGTCTTTATGTTTTAGATTAAGATAGCAACCATAGCCAATTAGCATTAAAACACAGAAACAGCTATAATTAGATTAGAAAAGGGGATTTTGTAAGATGTGTCAGCTTTAAAACTTTAGCAACGACAGCTGGAGTCAACCTGGTTGGTCTGTTAACAAAATATCTCATGAAGCATGGATTGTAAGAATACTTTCAGAAAGTAATCACTGGATTAAAAGAACAACTGATTTACTTTTGGAGTCAATCCAACTCAGTATGGCCGACAGCTAATCGGCATTAGGCGACAGAAAACTGACTGTAACTCCATCAATTTTACATATATTGAGCCAAAAGTTGACGTCTGAAGCTTAGAGTTATTCACAACACATACAATACTGCATGAGATAATGTTAATCAAAAGTCAGATATGATTTCCTTAAACAAAGCTAGACCTTTAATGTTACTTAGGGACCCCTTCTGTTTGTTAATCTGACGTCAGCACTGTAACTCTGGTTTCTGTTTAATCCAAGCTGAGTACTTCAGAAACTGCTTTCAGAAGAAAATAACTGAGAAAATCATTTAATTTAAAAGATGAAACTGATTTTTATTTTTATCACCATCAGTCACTCTTCGGCTACAAAGGTGACTCCAAGCAAGCAGCAAGTGTGCAAGACGTCAATGTTGTTCCCATGGTAACCCACAGCACTTTGTCCATCCACCTCTATTGTGAGCCGGCGTGATAGTGCTGATCTTTTCTCCGTCTGCACTCATAACCGTGCAGAGATGTACGAGACTTCTATTGTCTCCAGAGACACTCGCACTCGTCTCTCAAGGGCATCCTTTAAACAACTGTCCTTTTTATGCCTCTTTATTCGTCTCCCCCCCTCTCTTCTTCACAACTGAGCACCATCAATCTAGCCATTTACTTTAACTTTATTTCTCACTCCATTAGTTTCTAGGACACGGAGCAGTGCAAAGACTGGGGAGGGGAAAGGGAGAAAGAAAGGGAGAGACAGATAGTGTGGAAAAAATATAAAAGGAAAGTTTGACTCCTTGGAGAGATAAAATGTAATTTCACAGTCAACTTGCTGTGATATATTATTTCACAACAATGAGGTGTGGGCTGATTTGAGCCCCTGCTTGGCACCTGTACAGAACAGTTAGGACATCAGTGACGGCTCTCTGGAGAGAGGACGGTTATGTGGGAATGTCTTGTTATTGAAAAATGACTAGAAAAAAATAGATGAATGAATAGGGTTAGGGAGTGCATTATAAACTGCATAAAATGAAAGTCATGATAATATGTGT